TGGGGAAGAGCTGATCCTAAAAGGAGCCTGGAGGAAATCCGAGGGCCTGTGAAAGCTGGTAGCACCCAGGACCTTACACCTGACCACAGAGGAAGGGTCACCCCCACCTTCACTCTTGCCATCAGCAGTCTGACTGCAGTTCACATTTAGCAGTGCAGAACAGTTACAGGTTTTTTTGGGGTGTGTCTCTGCGCATCTCAGCGCACGACTTGCCACACGTAAGCCCTTTTCTTGGACTTTGCTCACTGAATCATTGACATTACCATAATATGAATTCTTTGTGGAATTTGTGCCTTTACCTAGGTGAAAATTGTGCTATGACTGAGATGTGTGGGGTTTTTTTTCCTTCTGGATGGTTAAGAGTGAAACCTTTACAACAAGTAAGGAACAACAATAGTAGTAAAAAGCAGTGTAGTATTTTTAAAGCCCAATAACTCTGCACTTGCTCCTGCTGAGATGCACCTTGCTATGAAGCTTATGTCACTAATGGGACTGTTCATTTCAGTGAGGCAAAGCAGCAGGGACATTATAATTAATAATGCTTAACAGGAAACAAGTTATTGTGCTTGGGGCAGAAGGGCAAAAACTGTTCTCTATTATTTTTTGAAGAGTTAATTGGTAGTAGGCAAAGATGTGCTGCGTTGAGCCAGCAGGTGCTGCTTTATGATTACATTAATGTTAATGATATCCTCTGGACACATATGAAGAGAGGTTAACCTATTTCTTTCTCATTGCATATCTCTGGGTGGATGTGTGTTCTGGTTCCAGCTATTTTTCGAGTGCCACTGCAGAGCACTTGGGCACAGTGACCCTAAATTTGCACAGAGATTTGCAGGCGATTTTGGAAAACCATGTAGCTTTTGTAACCTCCATTCACCTCAGGACAGACTTTGCAGGTTTAAAGATGGGGGAAATGGGTAAAAGGGGCTGCTTTTCTGGCATAAAATAATTCCTAGGGGTTACATAATATTTCTAAAATTGCCTGTTTAATTGTTCCTAGGTGTGCTTAACAGTATTACCTGGGTTCTAACTGTTTATTCTCTTATTTCATTTCTGAAACCTCTCTTCTTCTGGCATACCATTAAAAGGGTACTCTGGCACCAATTTTAAACCCTCAGATGAGCAGATGTTAAAACTGTGTTCCTCTAAGCAAAGTGTGCCGTGGCCCATCAAAGCTTGATACGTGCTAGAAAAGGTAAACCAGTGCTCCACAGTGCTTGAAATGATCTCGTTTCAGTACCACTCCACATTTAATTTTAGTTATGAGCTTATATTATCTTTTTTTAATGTGTTTTTTGCATTTCTAGCTTGGCAAAATTACACTGTCTAGCTCTAAGCTTCAGACATCCTTCAAGATATTTATATCTTTCATAAGATGCTTGCTTCGCACAAGCCCATCAGCTCCAGTAAAATTCTGTGCGCCATTGTAACAAGCAAAAATGCTGTGGAAGGATAGTCGTGGGAGCTGAGTGCAGAGATCTTTCCAAAAACCAGGTGACAGCGGTTTTTTGACCATTTGAGAAGCTCACTGGGTAAAGATTGATTCTGAAAGCCAAATCTGATTTTTAATGAGATTACCAGATGGGTCTGGTGCCTTGTTAGAAGTCTGCTCCTGCAGATCTAGTGATAAAAAAATCGGGAGAACAAATCTTGCATGCCTGTAAGGACTGAGAGAGTTGCACTCAGCTGTGTTTGCCCATTAGAACATGGGTACAACTCTGAGTAAGCTATTTCAAAATTTCTTGGAAGATGACACATGAGTAATCAGAAAGGGCAGCGGGGGAAGAGTCCATATAAAATCTTAGGATGGTTATAGCACAGGTACTGCACCCAGAGGTTCAGCTACTTAGGTCATGGGATTCTCTTTGAGAAACCTGAGCTCCTGGGGGCTGATGGGGTTTATCTGCCAGAGAAGGGCCAGAGTGTCTTTGCCCATAGACTTGCCGGGCTGGTGGAGAGGGCTTCAAACTAATGTTTCCAGGGGAAGGAAACTTAAATCCATCCCACTCCTACCAGTGTGATGCCAGTTCCAGCCAGAGATGCTCAGAGCCTGGAGAGACGTCACAGGTCAGCAGGAGAGCACCTGAAGAGCAGCACAGGGTGATTCCAGCCACTCCAGGCAGCAAGTCAGCTTAATGGGGGCCCAGCTTAAACATCTCTATCAAATGCAAGCAGAATGGGGAGTAACACAGAGGAATTAGAGGACCTGTGCATGCAGGGCTGTGATGGGTGGGTTCTGTAGTTGGAGTGAAGGGATACAGGCTCTTAAGGAAGGACTGGGTGCTGAGACAAGGAGGAAGTGTCACCCTCCATGTCAACGACCAGCAGGAGCGCATGGAGCTCAGCCTGGAGATGGACCAGGTGCCACCTTGGAGTTTATGGGTCTGGATTAAAGGGAGAGCAGGGACAGGTGACATTATAGTAGAGGTCTGCTGTGGGCTGCCTGGCCAGGAAGACTGAGTGGATTAGTTCCTCTGTAGACAGGTAGGAGTGATCTCATGTTCACAAGCCCTGGTCCTTATAGGGAACTTCAGCCACCCTGGTGTCTCCTGGGGGAACAACACAACAGGGCATAAACCATCCAGGGAATTCCTGGAACGCGCTGATAATAACTTCCTTCTCCGAGTGATAGAGGAGCCAATGAGGGGAGGTGCTAGTGCTGGACCTTGTTTTCACCAACAAGAGTATCTGATGAGGAATGTGAAGCTCATAGGGCAGCCTTGGAAGCAGTGACCGCAAAATTACAGAGTTAGAATACTTAGGAAATTGAGGAGAGCACACAAGAAACTCACCTGGACATTGGGAAAGCAGACTGTGATCTCTTCAGGAATCTGCTTGGTAGAATACTCTGGAAAGATGATGGGCCCAGAAAAGCTGGTTAATAATCAAGGATCACCTCCTTCAGGCTCAGGGGTGATGCATCCCAACAAAGACAAAATTGAGCTAAAATGCTGGAAGGCCTGTGTGCATGAACAAGGACTGGACAAACTTAAACACAAGATCTGGGTTTCCAGGTTCCTAAATAGTTCCTTGGATTTTTTATGTTGGTTTTGTGATTCTTCATGTAGTGTTGTTTACAGTAAAGGGACTAGAAAGTCCTAATGGAATTCTATTTTTTTGAGGTGATTGCTTCCTCTTCTGTAGAGCTTTTAAAATAAAATGAAATGGTTAGACTACAGTTTAACAGATCCTTATTAAAGTAGGAGCTAGTCTGATAATGACTTAAATTGGTGCTACGTGGCTATCACATGTTATTTGATAAGCATTCCATTATAATTAAGAAGTGGCTAATAGACAATTAATATACAGGATTACACACTTAGCTAATTAGATGATTTAAATTTTTTTTTTGTTAGATTAAAATGTACAGGACCCCATAAATCACTATTAGAGACTGTTTAATAAGCCTGAACCCTTAATTTTCTCCCTGTCAATCAGGAATGGAGCCACTCACTTTTCCTCTCACCAAGAGAGACTTGTCACATGGAAGAGCTGCTCTGTGTTCAGAGTCAGCTGAAATTCCCCCAAAAATGCACCTGTTTACAGGATCTCAGAGTTCAAATGCAGTCAGCAGAGACCTGCCTATTGCTGTTTGGAGTTTGTGGATATCAGAGATCAGGGGCAGAATGTCCAGCACAGACTGCACTTGGGGTGTCCCAGGGAGGCCATATGGGGTACCCCGTGCTCACACATGGCACACTGAGCTGACTGTGCCCTTCCAAATTGTCCCTGTGTACAGAAAGGCAATGTCAGCTCTGCCCCTCTGCCCTCAGAACAGAAACAAGTGCACCAGTGACCATTTCTTCTAGTATTTACTCAGCAGTGAACAAAGGGCTGTTTCAGCAGCATGGAGTGCTCTGTAAATTTTGATGTGTTCAGACAGGACTAGGAGAGTGACATGGTAATTGGGCAGGTTTTTGTGGGCAAGGCTCACAGAGGCTCAACACATAGCAACAGCATTGACAGGAAATGGCTTTCAGTTGACCAAGAGACTGCACATGGGTTTTGATGATTTTTTTTTTAAATATTCATAGCTAAAGTACAAAGCAAGCAAAGTGAGAATGAGATCTAAGGTGGAACAACACAAAGCCTGTCATGTCTGTAAGATGTCACTTACTAGCAATACTAAAACATTTTGCTTCACCCTGTAAACCATATGTGTATTACAATCAGGGGAATAAATAAGAGTGGTGTGTAGGGTTTCTTTGCTGCCATGCTTTCCATGTTCAAAGCACTTTACAAGGAAGAACTAAATTCTCTTGACAGCTTGCATCAGAAAATCAGCATCCCAAACTCATTGGGAACCTGAGGAAACAATGACTTACCCAATGTCTACAGTAAAATTAGGATCAGAGGGAAGGTATGAAAGTAGATATTTCCACCTTTCATTTCAGCTCTCAGCTGACCCAGTCCTGACAGATGAATGCAGGGCTGTTGATTTGCACAACATTGTATGAGCCATACTGGCAGCAGCACTGTGATAGTGTCCCTGGAAGGACAATTAGTCCAAATAGGTGATGACATAGGTGTGTCACTCAGGCCATTTATCTGCCTGAAAAGAAAATCGTCTGGAGTTTTTCATTACTGATTTTCACAGTGCTGACTGTCTCTTCCTGGGCAGAATACAAATGCTGAGATATCGTCACCTCTCCCTTCAGACACTTCTCTGACCCAGAAACTGAGAAAACATGATTTTTACTCTCAAGCCAGTTGTTGAAGTCAGGAAATGATTCAAGAGCACTCAGATATGCAAGAATCTTTTTAGTGACTAGGTGGGATTCACATCCAGGCTTATGTCCTGGAGAACAGTGGATGAGTGTGGGGTGAGACCAGCCTGCACTGACATGAACAGAGGCTGGCATTTCAAAAGCACAAATGTGTTTAGCATGATAGAAAGTGGCAGCAGATGCTTTTGGCTTTATCAAATAAACATTTGGGACTATAGCATGCTTTTTACCAGAAATCCCCCCCACCCCATTATTTTGACTTCAGACAGTTTACCAGATCTTCTAAACCAAAAGCAAAGGATGGAAAGGGCTGACATTTAGTGCAGGTACATGCCACTATCTAATAGAAAGGAGGCTGGTGTGGGGTCTTCAGGGTCCTTCTTGTAAAATCTTCATGGCAGCAGATCATACCTTGCTCTTCCCCCTAGCTTTCAGCCCATCACTGGATGGTCACCTCTTGCACCCCAGCACGGAGCATGCAGAATATTATATGAGTGTGTCTGGGACCACACACTCCTTCCCACTGCATCCTTTCTAGAACCAGACAATCACCAAGAAGAAGGACAGCAAAGTCAGCTGAGCAGCCTGGAATAAAGTGTGCAGGTAGGATGGGGAAAAAAGCTTGGGTTCCAATTAATATTTGATTATTTGTATAGTGAAACATCTCTGAGAAATTGAATAGTCTGAAGCCGTGGACAAAACACTCAGCTGGCAAGTTCTAAACCTTCTTACAGAGCAGGAATTACTTGTCTCTTGGCAGATATTGGAACACACTCAGCATTATTTCTGCCTTTGTAATCTTGTGAATGACACCTCAGTCGTTTTGAGAGCCCAGCTCAGAAATCAGTGTAGCTGCTATTAAAAATTCTGCTATTAGCTCTTGAAGCATTTCCAGTTCTGAGGTGTGTGTAAACATATCTGACGATATTCACTAAATTTGACCCAAATGTATTGCCACTCAAATTCATAATTTTCAGAAAAAAAATGACTTGGCAGAAGAACTTAGCAAAACTTTGAGGAAAATACTGCATAAGAAAAGCAAAGGTACACTCCCTACCAAGTTAGTTCTCTGTGGTTCTGGATCAAGCAGCTGCACTTCTCTCTATTCATTCAGTTTCTAGTCAGTTCTTAGATCCTAAAATGTTCATCAAAGATCACTTTTGGTGGTCCATAGCCCCAGTTCTGCAGAAGTTCAGACTGGACATTTCCTGAGAAGTGTCTGCTCTGGGTAGCACCCTTAAATTCTCATCTAATGGCAGGCCAAACACAAAGAGCCCATGATAAAATATTTTCTCTTTTGAGGACATTTTTCTGTTTTCCTGTACATGATAGTGGAGTTCAAATAAAGAAGGATACTCCCTGGGGAGTTGCCTGAGTAACCTGTGATGTGTTTTTGTTGTCTAAGATTAAATATAAGCAAGGGAGCAATCACAGAGAAGGATTTTATACCCGAGTTTATAGTTTTCATATAACAGCAAAGCTGAACTATGCCCCCAAGTTCCTAAAGCAAAAGCAGTCACCTTGAGGGTGATGTCAACTTGGTAATTTTCACTGAAAAAGAAATTAAATGCTATATTTATTATTCAAGAACCTTGATTAAAAAAAAAAATACACTTCTGAAAGATGTAGCAAATAAGAAAGACTTCATTAGAAATGTAAAGACATGGAAGTGGAAACAGCTGCTACAAATAATACCTAAACCTGCAATGTGTGAATCCCTTATATATTCTATTTTCTTCTTAGTAGGTTTCAGCTATAGTCTGCTCTTAAACTTACAGTCAAAAAGAATTTCATGTTGTCCTTGGAAAATAACTTCAACTCTCACAGCGCATACAAGGAAGTGATTTGTGAATGTATCAATATCAGTTCAACAGACAGAATTTAAAGATTCAGAATCAAAAGCAAAATTTGTTTTAAGAGGGTGTGATGGAGAAAGAATCTGTCCAAACTGTCCTCACTTATGAGCATCAAAGGGAGATCAGGAAGTCTGGGTTCAGGAAAGGGCATGGGAGCTGAACTAGCAGAAAGGTCATTTCCATGAGAAATAACCCAGCAGAGCAATGCTGGGAAAAGTCAAAGCCAGTCTTGAGGGGAAGGAGCGCAGAAGTGAGCTGTGCAAGGAGGGTGTGCAGGATCTCCCAGCCCCTGGAGGGTCAGGGGCAGGTGGCTGCTTCTGGGGCAAGGTCGCTGCCAGTGGTCACATCAGCCCCAGTCCCCTGTCCCTGGCTGTGCATCCATCACCTCTGGACACCCCAGGAGCAGCGAGACCTCAGACCGGGCTGCTTCACCAGGCTCTGGAGAGAGGGAACACCGCTGGCCTCGCTGAGAAGGTGAGCATGTGCTGGGTGTGTCACATTGTGCTTCTAAAACTGCCCAGCCTGTCTTGGTTTGGTGTGGTTTCCCCACAGCTGGCTGCCTTGCCCATCCACCCAGCTGCCCAGCATTTCCTGGGATTATTCAGAGATGACAGAAAAACATTTGATGGGAGGCGTTGGAAACTTGAAGTATCTCTCTAAACCTTGGGTCAATATATCTCTGGCAGTGCAAAAGAGCTGACAGAGCCACTGTCAAGTTTAATTGTCCCCTAGATAATGTCCTTCAAAGTCATATCTATTATACATTTCTGTTTGTCCTGGAAATGTGCAATCTAAACACTTTATCTGTAAGTGACTTTAAGAACTGTAGCTGCTTGTCCATGATAGGCACGTGGGTCTGGGCTTCTGATTCTGGATGTGTTCTGCATCTTCCCTGGATAATTAGGGGTCTAATTATTAAAAATTAAATAAATTAAATATTAAAAATTACCTCTGTGGCTGATTTGCTCTCTTCCCCTTCATGCCTCACCACGCCCCCAATTTGGGACTTTTAGGGGAAAAAAATGGGACTGGGCACCCAAATGGAATGGAATGTGTTGGAAAGGCTGCAGGGTTTAAGAGAGGGAGCAATGCACGGCTCTGGACATAGTGTAAGTGGAAAAGAAATGTCCAAAACAGAGTTTTTGGGGAATACCTTTTTAGCAGAAGCATGATATTATGAAAACACAAGTCTGACGTGAGATAAAGCAGCAGATGAATGTGGAAGACAGCCCTGAAATCCAGAGAGTAAACAGGTTGCAATAAAATCAAATGTTACTGCAAACAGACATATCTCCTAAATTAAATAATTTTCATTCCTTCTTCTCTTAAATGAAGGAATTTTGGATTTTAAATGAAGTACTACTTTCATGAGTGTTTGGACAACCTTGGGAAGGGGATGCAGGATGCATCTGTGGATGTTGGCTCTCAATTTGGAGAAGCCTGAACATGCAGTGTTGTTTGGTGGAAATGACAGGGAAAGGGACAGAAAGAGGTTTTGAAAAGGAGAGGGCAACAATAGCACAGGGGGTGCACAGTGTGATGGCAGAGCTGGAGGATATGAGGGGCTTGTGCGTTGTGATCACTCTCTGCTTAGTGCTTGGGGTAAAGATATGAGGGCAAGATTCAGGAAGGTAAAACTCACCTCACAGACAGAAAGGCAGAACTGGGCTTTCCAAGGGACAGCAGGGAAGCTGGGAGGCCTCAGCAGGGGGAGGAGAATACACCTGAGTGAAATTTGGCAAGTAACTGCTTTATTTTTTCTTTTTAGCTAGAAAAAGTCACATTTGTCCTGTTAGAAACTCTGTGCAGAAAGCCAGAGGATTCCAACAATTTGGTTATAAAAAATAGTTCAACCTCTGATCAAATAACTTCATCATGAAAATCACATAAGTTAAATTTTGGTTAAAGCTGCAGAAAACAAGGGGTTTTTTTGTGCAAAACAAAAATTTTTGATTGTCTGATTGGTCTTTTTTTTTTTTTTTTTTCTATGTAAAAAACTGAAATCCTTCATTTTCCCCAGTTCACTTATGGTTAGGTAATTTAAGCTGCAATATTTTGGGTAAGGGAAAGGAGGGGAGACTGTTCAACAGATAAGTCTGAGGTTTCTGTGTCTGAAATGAGAAGCATTAGAGGCTTGGCCCTGCAGTATGGATTTTAGAGATGAGTTTTCTGATGATGTGAAAAAGAGGCAGATGGACTGTAGGAAAAAGATAAGCAATCACTATTGCAGGGCTAGAAAGCAAGAAAAATAACAGAGCTATCAAAAGATATAAAGAGGAAGAGTGATGGGAGAAATGAGAATGAAAGGTGGAGAATTATCTATGGGTTGTGACAGTTTTTGGACCATGGTGATGGGAACTTGTCAAAAAAACGCGCAAAGAGCAACAAAGCTGTCTTGGTTGTGATGTCCCAAAGCTTTGGCTTGGAGTTTCAAATGATCTGTGCATATTGTGGATTTTAAGATCAAAAAGCAAAACTGTCACTGCATTTTTGTGGCATCCTGTTAACACAGGCTACTCAGCATCAGCAAGAGAAACCTGCTTTCAAGGCCAGATTTTTTATATGAACCTTTAAAAATGCTTTATTCTGAAAATTTTGTTTCAGCCTCATAACAATTTTTAATGTGTTTGCGCATCAGTCATTTGGGAGCAGGCTATTCTGAGGCAGAAAATATTCTCTCATTTTAGTCCACTACAGGTCTGTAAAGATGAGGTAGAGAGATAAAGGGAAAGTCCGGGTTTTTATAAGAAAGCTTTTAATGCTGCCATTGTGCAGCTTTATCTACCAATGCCAGTTTTCTCAGCTTTTATCAGCTAGGTGTCTGGTGAATTCCTTACCTTTCAGCACCAAAGGGGCAACATGGTTACCTGTGAGAATTGATATATTTGCTTGTTCCTGTCATTAATGTAGTTTAATTCTGATTTGGAATTTTGGCAGTAAATCTACGCATTTGTGTTCCCTGTTCTTTCAGCCCTAATCAAGCTTCTCCAGCCCCACTGTGCCACCTCCTCCCTGACAGTGGTCAGTAGCCTCTTGCAGAAGCCCTGGAAGAAGCCTTTTCCCACCTTCCCCCTATTTGCTAAAGAAGGGCCATGTCTGGCTTTGACCAGAGGAACCAGAGCAGGCAGCACACAGAGCCTGAGACAGGATACATCACCCCTGGGGTGAAGCCAAGGGGCGAGATGTTCGTCTTTATTGATGGGAAATGGGTGAATGACACCTGCTGCCAGCCACCCTGTCCTTCCCACCAGAGACTCTTTAGCAAGAAGGCACAGAATGAGTGGAGCATCTGGGAGGAGAATAGAGCACTCTGGCAGGAAAACCAAGTCCTCTGGATCAAAAACAGGATGCTCTGGGAAGAAAACAAGGCCTTACAGTATCTCCAGTCACAGAACAAATCTGTCCAGGTAATTTACTCTGATGCTCTTCAGCAATGTCTCAAGAGCAAAAATAAGCCATTTCCACTCTTCCAAGAGAGAAGCACAGGCTTTCAGTTCAGCCTGGACAACAAAGCTCTCCAGTCAGTCCAGAAAAAGAATAAATTATTTGAGGATTTCCAGCAGGAGAATAAAGCACTCCCTGTTACCTGGAAGGGCCAAAAGGCCATCACAGTCTATGAAGAGAGTGAAGATGCCAGCTCAGACCTTCAGAAGAACACTGACACCACTGCAGCTGTGGAAAAAGGTAACCCCAGCCCAGTCCCCCAGCAGGAACATGAAAGTAGAAAGAAGAACACTACTCCAACTCAGAATAAGATTGAGTCTGCCCCAAGTATGCTGGGAGAGCATGAAATCCTCCGAGTTCTTCAGGACCTGTGTGAGCTCCTCCACACCTTCCTAAAAATGAACCATCCTTCTGGGGAGAAACAGTCTTGTCACAATGTCTGTGATGTGAGCAGATCCTTCCAAGAAGATTACCATAAACTGAAGCTGCAGCTGAAAGCTGTGAAAAACACTGTGTCAGACATTATAGCTCAAATGGATATGCTGGAAAAGGAGATCATTGCCATCACTTCCCCAGTGTATGAAGAAGCAGGGCAAAAGCCTTTCTGAAACTTTCTTGCACTACTTAGAAATATTTCACCTCCTGGTTAGATGGTGTAGGTGACTGTAATGAATTTGCCTAGCCTCAGGAATAATGTTTTTCAGCATTTTTTTTCAAAGTTTCTTACAGTAAAGTCTAGGTTTTCAGAAGGCTATTGCTTGAGGATCTTAACTCTGATTACAGCGTGCCAGCTTGTAGTCCAAGGACATACTCACAGTCTCTGCTAAAAAAGCGTGGATTAATAAAGGAGGATGACTGCTCCCAGGCATTATGGTGGGGGCCACAGGAAGAAATGGAGCTGGCAGCAGGACTTCTCCTGCACAGAGCAGTGAGATCGCTCTTGATTTCTTGGCTAGTCAGATAAAGCAGGCTTTTAGCTGCCCCAGAGTAAGAAAGTAGGTTGCCAAAAGCAGCATTTTGGTGGCTGTTCCATGGCTTAACCCAGTGTTTAAAAGGGCATCTCCTCACACTATAATGGACAAGTCAATCTCCAATGATCTGCTGACACAGAAATGAGAGCCTTTTGATCTGCTCAGGTTTGAAATTCTGGTCTAGTCTCAGTTGTGTGGCCAGAGTGGCTGGAAATACATTTCCTCTGTCCTGGACAGTCTGGATGCAGTGCACTTTGTCACAATCTTTCAGGCAGAATATGGGAGCCTTTAAGTAATCTGACAAGACAGATGCAGTGAGACTTCTGCAGAGCAATTGTAGGAGCATTACTGTAAAGCAAAGGAGAGGTTACAGTGAGGTTTATCTGTTTCAACAGGACCCCAAAAGCAGGTTTTCACTCTAGTTTAAAAATCTCTAAGTGATTTGGCACTGAATTACCTAAAGCATGAACTATCTTTCACCTTGTATTTCACTCAGACAAGACCATGCCAAGTACAAGTGATGACTGTTTACTTCAGAGGCTTAAAACAACAGGTATTTTCTTTTGCTGATTTGGTTTTGGGGTGCTGAGGCCAATCTCTCATGCATGAAGTTAAATGGCTGGCTCTCAGTGGTGTGGGTAGGGCTGCATCTGTAAAGATCAGGTGAGAAGAAGAGGAGAGATGTTCATTAATAGGTGGATGTGCAGACAGCAAGTTGCTTCTGCTTAATGACTGGGTCACAGCTATTAATAGATAAATACCTCAGCACTGTGCTGGAGAACATTTTTTGTGCCTTCAGACAGGTTGCTTTTCTCTTCGCCATCTCCATCACCAGGTTTGAACACATGGTTTGGTAAGAGAGAGAAACTGGACTACGGAGACCCTAATGAAGAGGTTAAGAGGAAGGTAACAGTAGTAAAAAGCTCTGATCATGTGTTCATATCTTAACAAACTAATTTGTGTCCCATTAGAAGAAATGAACTGCTCTTTTGCCAGTGGTCAGAATACTGACTCCTGCCATGTCCCTCTACATGGGCAAAAAAGACATTTGGGAGTGTAACTTTCTACCAGGTGTTTGGGAGGAGTCATCTCATCTAATGTCAGGTGTCCATCCAGGCAGGACATCCAGATCTCAGCTAGTCTCCCTGGGGTTCCTTTCTGTCCTGTAGGAAGGAATGGGCATGTTCAGGCTCTGATTAATCTGCCTCCTATTAGACTAAAAGTAGGCTCTGTCACCAGCTGGAGTCCCTTGTTTCTCTCTGTTGCCTCTATAATTAATTCAAGGACAATTAACTCCAACATAGACATTTGGTTTGGAGCTCTCTGAGTGAGAAAGTTGGCAGTTCCAAGCAGAGGAGATGTTTCATCTAATGGTGAAGTGGCACAGGCTTGGGAGTGTGTCCCAGTCCCTGGCTTTGCTTTCCGTGAGATGCCTTCATTAAGCAGCTGATTCAGATCTCTCTATTGTGTAGAGAAATTATTACTTTGTGAATAAAATTGAGTTAGTTTGGGCAGAGCTTAAATATCATGCAGACACATGTAGGATCCTGAGGGGAGCACACTACTTCTCCTGAATACTAATGATGTTTTTGGAAGGAATTAGGTTTTGTGAGTCCTTTGCTCTCTGATCACTTCTTTGGATCTTCGATCATCATGGTTATAAAAAAGTCTATACCTGGTATATGTTTTTGGCATCTTTCACAGAGAAGTTGAATTTCCCATCCCTTCAAGTCTGTCAAGTGAGATGACATTGTCCTTAAAAGATTGCCCAGCACTTAATCTTGCAGAGGACTCCATGCTGTTCAAACTCTCTGTCCTGTCTTAGGGCAAATTTTGGAGGAAACCTCCAAAGGCGTCCCTCTAGAAAACAAATTCAAGCAACCCCTCCCCACACCAGTTCAGGAGACATAAATGTCCTTTGAGAAAAGTGGAAAAACCTGTTTATTTAACAAGCAAAGTACTCATGATCATGGAAAAATTAATAATATTAAACAATGGAATTGTATAATTCACTGCTCTGAAAAGAAGGCAAATTCAGAGAGAGAGAGAGGGAGAGTCCTTGCCGTGGGGTGTAGTTCAGCTCACTCAGTCTATCGTCAGTCCCTCTTGAACTGGAAAATGCCGCGTCCTGAGCCCCGGTGGGCCACAGGTGTGAGCTCCTGGTGTTTGTTTCAGTCCAGTGCAGGACTGAACAGTTCCAAGGAAAAGAAAAACCACAGTCCAGGGAACTTCTCTGCCTCAACTGGCTAAAAAACTAACTAAAAGCAGAGAGCTCTCTCTCACTGTTCGTGCTGCAGACGGCACAGTCCAGAGAAGGAATGTGGAGGAGCAAGTGCTGCTTCTGCAAACAAACTGTGGCTTCTTCTCCCCCCTCTTTGCTCTCAGAACCAGTCTTAAATGTGCAGAACTTAAATGCAGCATAACAGAACAGACAACTGGGGATACAAGCATCATAAAGTCACCCCAGGACATTCTCATAATCCCAGAAGGTGCAAAATCTCCAGTCTGGGCTTCAGTGACAACAGTGGAGGATCATTTCTCGTGCTGCTGGAAAGGCAGATGATCACGAGTATTACTTGACTTGTTAATGCTAAGGGCACAGACAGTGAGATCTGACTGAGTGGCCTGCAGAGTGCCACAGGACTGCATGGGGAGAGCCCTAAGCACTGCCCACTTTCTGCATTGTTCCATGTCCCCAGTCAGTGCCGCTTTCCAGCTCAGTGGGAGCTAACCTACAGGTCTCCACCTCTAGAACGTGTGCTGGTGAGAATGGTTGGACTGACAGCTTTTGTACAGTTCCAGGTACAAATGGAAGAAAGCAGGCATTCACAGGAAGATCTTATTAATTATCATAAAATTTAGGCAGGTTTGGGAAAAAATGGACTAAGTTTAATACATTTTTCTAGTCTGCTCAGTGGTTTACAAGTCCCTGGAAATTGGTAGCTTTTCTGGCTTGGAATGGATGGATGTCATTCTTATAGTGCATAATTTACCTTTTGCAGGATGACAAACTTTCTGTTTCTCTCCTTATTGTTGCTGATTAGGTCCTTATTTTTTACTACTCATTTATCAGTACTATTTTTGGAAGACTGGATTTTTGGCAAGATCACCAGCAGCTTCTTACTTCCCTGTAAGTTTGATGATTGCCTCTAGCTGGGCTCTGTAGAAATGCTGACTCTCCTGTTCTCATTTCTTACTGGACAGTCTAATATATCTGGGTTTGTACTGTCTTCACAGAATACCCACCATGGCCTTTTGTGCTCATCTCAGCAGCACCACTATATCTTCTCATCCCTAAATTGCAATTTTGAAATTTTTTTCAAAGTGTTATGAGCTTCCTTGAGCCCTGGTTTGCTCCTGTTAACTGCTGAAGATAATTTTCCCAGAATTTTGCTTGTGATTTCATGAAGTTGAGGACATACTACAAAAGCAGTTGTGCTGGCCAAAAGCCATGCCTTCCAGGGTGGTGCAGACTGTTTGTTGCTGCTCTCAGCAGCCCAGTTTGTTCTTCCCCAGCCAGTTCCCAGCCAATTCCAGTTTAGCTCAGAATTAGACACAACTGTACATTTAAATGCAGGATATAGTGGAAGTCTTTCACCCAATCTTTGTGCTGAACTAGTCATTGGTTTTTTTTTGACATCCAATTTGAGCATAGACTACTCAAAATATTCCTGCAGTGAAATGAAAATATATGGGGGAGTAATTCCTCAGATAAGTTTCATAAAGGAATTCTTTCTTCCAGTGGCTGTTGGCTGGCTTTAAAGCAGAAAGCTTTAAAACTCTACCACATCTTCCAAAGCAGTATTCATCTCACCTAGGTGGAAACACTTAAATGAAATCAGTAACTGTGACCCATGGCCACCCGAGGTCACTTCTGCAGTTGTGGAGGTAGGAAGGATTGCCAGAGGGTACAGGTCTTTCCCTGCCGACTGCAGAGAGCCTGGAGGGGCCAAGATTAGGTGGGGAGAGTTGAGTCCTGGAGATGGCCACATCGCTTGATGAATGGCTGACAGAGAGCTTTGGATGGACCTAAGGAAAAAAAAAAGTGAGTTTACGACAATAAGGGGCAGGCAACTTAGGAGGAGCACTGGGATGTTGTGCTGTGATACAGGGAGAAAATTAAAAGGGTCAAATTCCAAATCAAACTTAATGTGCTTACTGTTGTAAAAAATGTTTTGATCAATTTGTCAGCAAGAAAAGGAAGACTAAGGAGAATCTTGACCCTAAAGTGGATGTGGGAGGAAACATTGTGTCAAGGGATGAAGAAAAGACTTCAGCTACTCAATGCTCTCTTTGCCTCAGGCTTTCACAGTAAGATCAGCTGTTCTCTGGGCACCCAGCCCTCTGAGGTGGAAGACAGGAGCAGGGAGCAGAATGAAGCCTCCACTGTCCGAGGGTGGACGGTCAGTGCCTCATCACTTAGACACACACAGGCGTATGAGGTCGATTGGGATCCACCCAAGGATACTGAGGGACCTGGTGGAAGTGCTCATCAAGGCACTCCCCATCATTCCCCAGCAGTCCTGGCTAACTGTGAGTCAACTCTCCAACCTCCAGTCAATTGGAAGGAGAGCCAAACAGGGAAACTACAGGCCTGCCAACCTGACCTCGGTACCGGAAAATATTATGGAGCAGAT